TTACTCTATGATGAATTGTAAAGCTTATCTCCCCATCTCATCCCCACACCTCAGGCTTCTCTCTGGGATTCATGACACAGTCTCATACCAAGGGGATCTGGATGTGGTGTGTCCCTCATCCCCAGAAGCCAAGCCACACGCTAGTTCTGCTTGACACTGAGGGCCTGGAAGACGTACAGAAGGTAATTCAAATTCTACTCATGGTGCATCAGTAGCCCACCATGTATACTTCAATCCCAATCTTTCGTTTATGTTCCTGGTGAGTCAAATTACTGTATCATTCTTCAGCTCACCTGACATAGTAACCAAGAGTAAACACAGAAGTCTACTGATTATTAGCAATTCATCCTTCATAATAATAACGACAATATTTTTTTGCTATTTTTCCTTTTCCACCATCACACAACGCTTGGTGGGACATTTAGTGGCGTGCCTAAAATTCACTGTACATTTTCTAAATATGTCCGATTTTAAGTGTAAACGTGTGAAAATGCTAAGAACTGTAACTTCTATACAGCATTATCAGTGAGAGAAAAAGAAGATTTGGTAGTGCTTTATTTCTGTGAACAGACAACATGAGTACGGCAACAATTTTTTTAAAGAGGTATTTAACTAAGGTATTGCTTACAGTTTTAGAAGCTTAGTCCATTATCATCGTGACAGGGAGCAACAGGAATAGCAGGCATGGTGCTGGAAGAGTAGTTGAGAGATACATCCTGATCCACAGGCAGCAGGGGAATAGAGAAATAGAGAGACAGGGAGAAGAGTGAGACAGAGACAGAAACAGAGGCAGATACTGGCCCTGCATTGTGTTTTTGAAACCACAAAACCCACCCCCATCCTCACCCCCATGACACAGCTAGGTCACATCTCTGAATCCATCCATGGTGACTAAGCATTTAAACTTATGACCCTATGGAGGCCATGCTCTTAGAAACCACCACAATTTGCAATTACATCATTTTTCATGGAGGATCAGGTCACTACTCTTGCCAGTCTGAGACACACAAAACTCTATTAAAGGACCTAACTTTCAGTAGTGCTAAAATGTCCCTGTGGTGTTTTGAAAGAAATTGCCCCTCCAAGAGGATGTCACTATTACAAGATGTGGCTCTTTGATTTGGTGTGGCCTTGTTAGAGGAAATATGTCACTGTGGAGGTGGGCTTTGAGGTCTCATTTATGCACAAGCCATGCTCATTGTCACAGACCACTTCCTGTTGCCAGGGTAAGATATAGAACTCTCAGCTACCTCCCTAGCACCAGGTCTACCTGCATCTTGCAATATCTCTCCATGATGATAATGGACTGAACTTGTGAACTCTAAGCCACCCAATTAAATGTTTTCTTTTATAAGAGTTGC